CACTTACATGGTACAAGCAGATGCCTAGCAATAGAAAAATACAAGATGGCTTGCATGCCTTACAGTTGTTCGTAACTTCTTATAAGTAATTCGCCCTTGAATAATATATGCAGGCTAATTACCAATAAAAAAGCAACGGTTTATAGGTGCGTACGAGTAAAGTCACGCAGAGCAGGTCAACTTGTAAAAATGTAACAAAGTACTACAAGGCACGTTACATCAATGACAAGCCCTCACATGGACATCTGTGATATCCAAATATGAAAAGTATTCATTCTCTATCCACATCCATACTTCCCGCTCATCCATAAAAGCGGCACAGATCCAATTAACCCATAAATTTCACCAACAAACTGATCGGCATAAGCTAGATGGTGCAGATTTACATTCAAACCTGGATAAACACTGCAATCCTGAAGACAGGCTATCAACAAATGTACAAAACAAATGTATACATAATCTAATGACCAAGACAAACAATGAAACTAGGCAGCAAAAGACCAAGTGTAGCTTGATCTATGGCGCAACGCAATACTGTGCACATCTGCCTCACATAGTGGACTGGTAAAATAATTGAAAGTTGACCTCTTTTATGTTTAGTTATATGCATCGTTCAAGTCAATCCATACACAACTTGATGCTAACAGCCCACAGTCATCTCTACTAATTAAACTCAAGCTAACCGAAGGTGGATCTACCATTTTATAATATCAAATGATGCGGCAAGTGCCAAAATATACAGACAATACAACTAGGGAAATTGATAAATATAGCAAGAACGAAAGGCTGTTGAAAGGCGTGGATCAGACACTACAAAAAAAATAGAGGATTGATAAATAAGACATCCTATCTAAACGCAGCATATGATTCTTTCACACGGTAACACAAATACCTAGTGCATCATCCTTGTCGAGTGCAGTATTGCAATACTAGAACTTTGACTAACAAAGTAACAAACACTACTCAGTATTCACTATAAGACTTAAGAGTATATATAGACACAACAACAACAACGAAGCCTTTAGTCCCAAACAAGTTGGGGTAGGCTAGAGCTGAAACCCGTAAGATCTCGTAACCAACTCATGGTTCTGGCACATGGATAGCTAGCTTCCACGCACTTAAGAGTATATATAGATTTTCATAAAATCTGAACAAGATTCCTGACTTCCACTTGTGATATAGGCATGAAAGTGGTCGTCGAATGATGGTGGTTGATAGTTTACTAAGAAATCAAAGGTACGAAAGACCATCGAAGGCAAATCAGGAACAAAACAAGTGATAGGCTGGCAGCTTTTGGACATGTAGGTTGTTATTCACATTTTAATAATTTTTCACAAACACTGGCAATAGCCTTTTAGTCCTACAAATGCTAATTTGCTTCACAAATACTTATTGTCAAATTTGTTTTGTGCTGTAGTCATGGGTTGCTTGTTTTATCTTATACGCAACAGGCCAAGAAAAAACCATGCTGACGAAAGAACTTGTTTGCACACACCACCAAAATAGTTCTGGTTCATCCTTGGCACAAAGAACATGCGCGTAGGAAGAAGATAGCCTTTCCATATCTAACTGGATGATACTCTACGTTACGAAGTAAAGATTAGTTTATTTCGCAAACAGACAGATGACGCACGCACACAAAATAACGGCTTTTTTCCTAGCACCACATTAAGTGCCTTATCCATACATTCCAAATGTATGTGTCCGATTAAATGGATGATACCGTACGTTACGAACTAAAAATTAGTTTATTTCACAAACAGACAGATGACGTACGCACACAGAATAACGGTTTTTTTCCTAGCACCTACACTAAGTGGCTTATCCATACATTTCCAAATGTATGTGTCCCATTTCCTCGCAAAGGCGTATCAAGAAATACATGGGAGCAGATTTTCCTAGATAACCATATTCTTGGGAGCACCCTAGAGAAATATAACAGCAAGCAGATACAAAATTATCAAACCAAAAAAAAGCATACCTGGAAATGGGCACTGTTAAGGCAGCGCCCTATCTGCTTAAACAGCGGCACCATGCACCGCTGGAACTCAGCAGGCTGTGTGGCCTCGAGCACTTCCTCGAGCTCCCCCAAAAACAGCACCTCCTTCTGGCAATTTATGACTGGCCAGTACTTGAGCAGACCCCTGATGACCGCATCGGCAAGTTTGTAGTCCTTCTCGACAAACTGGACAATGCAATAGGACAGCTGCTGGTGGTAGATTCCGACAGACTTGGGCTTGTGCAGCGGGATGAGCGCACGGCTGAGGAACAGCTTGTGCTCCTCCTTCATAGGCAGGGCAAAGCCATTAATTATGCTGCCGAGAATCTCAAGCAGCTCGCCAATGCCATTGTGGCGCTCGGTCTCAAAGATGAAGCGGTAGAACACATTATTGATGGCCTTGCGGATGAACGGGCGGTGGACCATGAACTTGCCATAGATGCGGTGGAGCACGGTCTTGAGGTACTCGCGCTCGCGGGGGTCCTCGGAGTCGAAATGGTCGAGGAGGCGGAGCACAAAGGCATGGTCGACGTACCGCTTGGCGACCTTGGTGTCGGTGTCAGGGGACACGACGTAGCGGAGCAGGAGCTCGTAGACGAGCTGGAGGTGCGGCCAGGCGGGGTCGAGGTAGGGCTCCTCCTCGTCGTCCGGGGTGGCATTGGGGTCGATGTTGGCGGCGGACTCGTACAGCGCGGGGGGCAGGGGCCGGAATATGTTGGCGGAGATGGCGGCGACGAGGGCCTCCTGCACGGCGTCGGGGAGGCGCGCGGGCGCGTTGGCGTTGGCGGCGGGGGCGGGGGCCTGCACGTAGTCGACGAGCTCGAGCAGCGCCTGGCGCTTGGCCTCCTTCTCGCGGGGGTGCTTGAGGGAGTCGGAGAAGTCGAAGAGCGCGGCGACGAGGCGCAGCTTGCGGAGGAGCAGCCCCGGGCGGTCGCCCGCGGGCACGTCGCGGAGGAGCGGGAGC